AATGTTTACGGTAATACAGTATTATAATTTATATCACAACTGATTTATGAATTAAATAAACAAAAATATGAAATGATTACTGACTAACACAGAGAAATTAAATACTGTATCATAAATGATTAGTTTCTACAATTGAATGTACAGTATTAGAAAAATATTGATTTGACAAAAAGCAAACAAAATTACAAAAACTTTAAATGAACGATAGTTACGGTAGTTATAAAAATATTAGAAATAAATTATATAAAAATTTATTTATATAACAAATAACTAACTACACTACCAGCGCGATCTACCACCACCGCCACCTCTTCGGCCTCCACCCCCTTGAGGGCATTCGCGTGAGAAGTGTCCGCTTTGCCCACATTTAAAACAGCCGTCACTTCCACCTCCAGAGCCACCGCCGCGACGTCCGCCACAAGCGGCCACTTCAGCGTCGTGTTTAGCCTTCCAAACGCCGTACCGGTCGGCCATTCCTCTCAGATCATTGGGCACCTCCTGTTCCGCCTCTTCCAGTATATCAATCAATTCTTTGGCGTGTTTCCAGTCCTCTCGAGTAACCAAAGTAATGGACGCACCCGTCCTCCTGTTCTCACAATATATTCAATACAGTATTATAGTCTATAAAATAGCCTCAAATGTATTCCAATGCCATACCCGGCTCTACCAGTTCTGCCAACTCTGTGAACATATTCCTCGACATTACGCGGAAAATCGAAGTTAAATATATGACTAAAAACCATAAGATTTGTGTTAAAAACAACAATTCATTAGTTGGTAATACTGTACACACGTAATGTCTTCGATGTCAAGACCGCGTGAGGCCACGTCTGTGGCAAACAATATCTGAACGGATCCTTTCTTAATGTCTTCCAACGCCTGTTCCCTGTCGTGTTGATCTCTATCGCCGTGTATTGACTGACAATCAATTCCTTGAAGAACGCAATCAGACGCTAAATCATCGGTCCTTTTATATGAAATAAAAAATGTCAACAAAATCCAAAAGATTTAAATCGTAAGTTAAATATTTATAAGTAGACTAACAGTGCTTTTTTGCCGCAAAATATTATCACTTTTTCGTGTTTTTCCATCTTTTTGATGAAGTCATACATAATTTCGCGCTTCTCGTCATTTGTCGTAATAATGATGTGTTGTGTGACGCTGTGAACGGCCGCCAAATCTAATGTGCCGACGTATACCTGCATCGGGTCTTTCATGTATGCGACGGCCAGACGTCTGACACACTGGGGCCACGTGGCAGACATCATCACAGTATGGCGTTCGGGCCTTACGTCAAGCATTATTTTCTTAATTTGCGGCTCAAAACCCATGTCAAGCATACGGTCGGCCTCGTCTAAAACCTGTGTTTTATAAACACTTTAATTAACAATCAATTTAACTATTAATGATTCATTGCATTACCAAATAACTAACGGATGAGAGATTAATGACTCGATTCATACAGAGATCATTGAGTCGTCCGGGCGTTGCGATCACTATTTCGACTCCTTTGCCAACTTTACTGATTTGTGTGTTACGGTCTCCACCGCCGTAAATGCAAACACATTTGATATCTCTGTAGCGATATTTCTGACACTCCTTCTCAATCTGTTGCGCCAATTCTCTGGTGGGCGCCATAATTAGGGCTGTAGGGCCCGGACGGTCCTCGCGTTTACTATCGATTAGTCATTAAATTCTGTTCCGTTATAATCATAAACTTATCATTACGTGGACTGACTGTCGATATGTATCATTGCCGGCAAAAGGTATGCCAATGTTTTTCCAGTTCCCGTCTGAGCGATGCCTATCAAGTCATAACCACTGAGGAGTATAGGCCACGACTGGCACTGAATGGGTGACGGAGTCTTAAAGCCTTGTCTCGTGATTTCGCCCAAAACTTCAGCTAAAAGTTTAAAAATAGTCGTCAGAACTAAACAATTACTAGTAATTACTGTAAACTAACGGAAGTGTTCAAAGGCTTGACTGAAGTGTTGGATGGGATTAGGAATGACTCGAGTGTCGCCTTCAGTGAAATGACTGACAATTATGTTATTATTTTCAGTGCGAAAGTTGTCCACAAACTCTGCACTCATGGCTCTCACGTCTGGGTTCTCGAAGTAGAACTGTTTGTTTATGGGTGGAAGTGATGCCCATTTCTTTTTGGTCGCCTCTTCACTCTCAGCGATGGCCGCCCCCCAGTCCACAAACTCCTCACTCGGGGCCGCCTTCTCCTCCTTCTTCGGCTCATTACTCCAATCACTATTCCAGTCATTATTACTGGAATTCCTGTGCGAAGAGTAGGACTCACTTCGCTGTGAAGAATAGCCCCCATTTTGAGTCAACTCTTTGATGAGTTTGTCAGCCATTTCTATCTGACCACTGCTTCCACTCAATTCAATATCAGTGTCACAACCACTCGAATCCTTATTAATGTGAATCCGAGCGCCGCTCTTGTTCTGCAGCTCTTTGATGGTCTGACCGCCTC